GCTGGTAGTTTCGAACGACTTACCTTAAGGTTCGCAGCCCGATTCGTAACCACTATGCTACCAGAGCTCCCAGGAGAAAGATTAGGGGATAAAAATTCCTATTTGCAAAGTATAGCAAAAGAACAAAAAATATGAGAAACCAGATCTTTCCCATGATAAGGGAGCAGAGAACTGCATGAAAGACCTATGTGGTTGCACAGTTATGAAATCATCCCAAAGATCTTAAGAGGTTTAAAATATTGGCTCTTTGAAAATAAAATAAGATTATTTTAAACAATATTTTTAGCCTTCTCAATTGGGAATACCAAAGAATTGAAATAGGTATGCCTTAAAAAAATAAACAAAATTGTTTTCAGAAATCAATTTCAGATAACTTTCAATTTTGAGGAACGTTTGCAATCAAACATTGCTTTTTCTTTAGAAGTAAAAATCCAAATAAATATTAAACAGAATAATTAGAAACATTTTGATAATACTATAACACTTCAGTCAAACAGGATAATAGTACCTTCATCAAAATTAATGCTTTTGTACTGTCGTCCTGAGTCATCCACACGATGCTCTCTTAAAAAGAAAACATGAAACATTTAACCACATTTCAGTTAACATTAATGCTTTCACAATACTTGTTATTTTCAGTTTCCATGAAAATACATAGTTCATGTAGACTAGCAAGTTATTCTATAAATCCATTTTTCAATAAAAATTAGATGTATAAAAAAGGCTTAGTGTAATAAATAAATGGCCTAAATTTATTACTAGCATTCTATTTTTTCATATTCTAATATAATCTAATGACTTCTGAGTAATACAATTATAATTAATAAAATATAATCAATATAAATACAGATGTTCTAATTCTTATTATATTACTATATACAATTTTTTAAATATTCAATTCTACTAAAAGCATACATGATCTACCTTACTTAGTAAGGTGATTTCCAAATATTAGTTATAAGTGTGTTTGGACTCCTGGATAAAGCACTCTAAAGAAACAGAGTACTAGTGTGGAGCCGTAGGATAAGCTCTGGACTGCTAACTGAAAGGCTGGGGGTTACCAGTCCAGTGCTTTCAACAGTGATAAGTCTCACTTAACTTCATAATTTACAAAAGTAATTTCATTTTTTCTAATTACCTTAATACAGTAAGGATCAGAATAATATTTAAAACTCCCAAGAAGGCGCCAAGTAAAACTGGTGCTGTATACATGTTTATCTGCAGATCAATAGCATCCCACGTCACACCTTTTTCACCAATGAGCGCAAAACAAGTCTGAAAAACTGATTAAAACAAAATATATACAGATGGATTATTGTACATAAGGCAGGCTAGAAAAAAATATGTTAGAAGTTTACGATAGAATTAGAAATAACATTATGGAATCATCCATCTATACCCCGTATTCTAAAGAGAGGGAGTATAGCCCTAAAGGGGAGAGAGTTGGACCATAGAACTAGACATAACATTATGAAACCACTCATCTATATCCTATATCCTAAATAAGGGAATAAAGCACTAAAAGGGAGGTCATTGGTTTTATGGTAGCAGGGGAGTGAAATGAAAAACAACTATCCTTTTTATAAAGCACAGAAAGATATACATAGGAAATATAAAGAATCATCCATTAAATAACTTGCCAGCATCTCCTATAGGGGGAAAAATTAACATACCTCCATAAACAATTTATAGAATTTCTTCCATACATCAATTAGAAAAGATTAATGTCATTATAGGAAATTATCTTTTACTTTTAATTTTCCATGAACTTTTAGAAGCCCTATCATGTGTCACTCAAATTATATTTAATGTCATTTTAAATTCGGAATTTGTGGTAAAACTCAGATTAGAAGAGTACTGGTTTGCTGTTCTGACTTGGGTTCAAGATCTAGCTCTGCCAATAATTTGCATATACAACCTTAGGGTCAAGATTATATAAGACAGCCCATGAAGCACTTAGAATAATGCATAGCACATAGGAAGCACTCAATAAATGTTAGTGCTTGTTGAAAGTCATATAATCTCTTCAGGGCTACATTTACTCATGTCTAGTACATAATGTTTAAATAAGATCATCTATTTATTTAGTTAGTGAACTGAATGCTTACAGAGCAGATCATCAGTTTTATAATAAAAAAATTATATACTTTATTTCATATTAATTGCAAATCCCTCAATGTAACATCACTTATCCCTCTTCAAAATTCCCTGTGCTTCTTATTTCCATTCTTCCTTCTTTCTCCTACCCTTTTGAATTCTGCCCTAAGGTAAAATGCTGCCCTTTGATCTCAAATGGTTGACCATTCTATAGTGTGCATACCTCACTAGTGTGGTTGTTCCTCACATCCACCCATATACCTAATTAATGCTTTGTTAAAAATTGAGCCATGGGGGTGAGTTCACTTCCAGACCTGAAGGATGATCAAGGGCCATAGTCTCGGGGTTCCACCAGTAAATGAGATCATTTTTAAAATGCTTTTTGGGTGGTTTAAATATTTACTGAGAATCTAAGCCTATGCCAGTTACTGTACTAGGTAGGTACTGAGGGTGTTGTTGTAGTTCAGTGCCATTAAGTCGGGTCCAACTCATAGTGACTCTGTATAAGGTTTCCGAGAAGTGGCTAGTGAGTCTGAACCACAGATTTTGCAGTTCAAACCAACCTTGTGATCCAGTGCATTATCCTGCAGCGCTACACCAGGGCTCCTGAAGGTAGAATGATAAATTAAAAAGGCTTAGATCATGTTCTTTTATGTTTGACGATATGGTGTAAGGTTCAATAATTCTGCATTTGTACTTATATTTATTCCAGAATACTAAACTGTTAAATTTTTATGAATGATAAATTAGATTCTTTCTATTGAGTCTTTTCTTGGCTGAACAGAAGGAAGTAATGGAAACTGGCAGGACGATGGTAGTGATGGTTTATGATGAAATTAACTGAATTAGATTAATATTGATGATGTTCACAACTCAGTATCTGAGGTATATTGTAATAACTATGTCTAGTTTCTAAAGGTATTCTAGACATAAAAACAGTACTAATTTCCCTACTCATTTAGCAGAAAATTAGTCCTTGGAAAGTATAAAAATCTCATTAACATCTTATTATACAAAAAAAATAGAAGGCTGCAAGAAGACCTTAGAAAAGTCTTAAAGGTAAAAAGGCAAAGAATCGCCTATATTTTCCCTTAAATCCTTCAGTGTAAAGAGTTTTGTTTCCAATAAACATGGAAAAAGAAAGCAAAGTTCTATGTAGTGGCAAACTACATGACTGTTTAACAGGATATGTACTTTGTATCACACAAGTTAAGTCTGCACTATTTTGGATCATTTACTTTACTTCTCTATACCATGTTATCCTCAGTTGTAAAATGCTTCTGATAGCACCTAGTCATTAAGGTTAAATGAGTGAAGACACATAAAGAGTTGAACCCAGATGCTAGTTCCAAAAGTAATTATTTCCCTCAGTTTCTCTTTAACAATGTTGTTTTATAACTGGACTTCACTTAATATTTGAATCTCAAAAGTTTCCCAGTGCAAATTCAAGTAATGACATGTAAAGATACCTACCTGGACCAAGAATAAAACCTATTGCTTGACATGCACTTGTGTTTGCCATGGCACTTGTTCTTTCTTGAAGAGAAGTAGCACCAGCAATATATGATCTAACAACTGCCACATTTCCTAAGAAAAGATAAAACAATACAAAGTAAAAGAAATTATACTTTGGTGTATAAAAATCTTTTCATTTGGCTTTAGATGAAATAATAAATTTTGGTCAATGATACATCACTATTTTCTTATGATGAATGTAAAAAGCACATAAGATCATTTTAATAGTAAATGCATCAACTACCAGAGCATATTACTTTTAGTAATAAACAGTTCAAACTGTGAATACATGAAAAATGACACTATATGAGTGTCAATCTTTTTGATCATTAAATACCAAGAAAGCATTAAGTAAATGTCACACTATTGATTGCTATCATTGTTATAAAATGATTATTGTTGCTAGGTGCCATCAAGTTGATACTAATAGCGACCCTATGCACAACAGAAGGAAACACTACCCAGTCCTGAGCCATCTCACAATTGTTGTCAAGTTTGAGACCACTGATGCTGCCACTTTGCCAATCCATCTCGCTGGGGTTCTTCCTCTTTTTCTCTGACCCTCCACCTTAACAAACATGATAATCCTTCTCCAGCAACTGGTCCTTCCTGACAATATGTCCAAAGAATGAGAGATGAAGTTTGGCCATCCTGGCCTCCAAGGAGCACTCTGGCTGCACTTCTTCCAATACAGATCTGTTTATTCTTTTGGTAGTCCATG